TCCAAGACGTCCTTAACTATTTCTCTTAATCTCTCTGGTGGATGGATATATTGTTGGAAAACCTGTCAGTATATTCAATATATATATGAGTACGCCTTCTACTATCCCAATAAAGCTTTTCTATGGAACATCTCATATTACTTACATATACGTTGTCTATAGGAATACATCTATTAATTCCTTTTACATACATTGTCTATAGGAGTACACCTACTAATTTTTTTACATACATTGTCTATAGGAGTACACCTACTAATTTCTTTTACATACATTGTCTATAGGAGTACACCTACTAATTCCTTTTACATACATTGTCTATAGGAGTACACCTACTAATTTTTTACATACATTGTCTATAGGAGTACACCTACTAATTTCTTTCACATACATTGTCTATAGGAGTACACCTACTAATTCCTTGTATATACATTGTCTATTGAAGTACATCTACTAATTTCTTTTACATACACTGTCTATATGAGTACACCTACTACTTTCTTTTACATACATTGTCTATAGGAGTACACCTACTAATTCCTTTTACATACATTGTATATAGGAGTACACCTACTTTTTTCTTTTACATACATTGTCCACAGGAGTACACCTACTAATTCCTTTTATATACATTGTCTATTGAAGTACACCTACTTCTTTCTTTTACATACATTGTCCATAGGAGTACACCTACTAATTTCTTTTACATACGTTGTCTATAGGAGTACACCAACTACTTTCTTTTACATACATTGTCTACAGGAGTACACCTACTAATTTCTTGCACATACATTGTCTATAGGTGTACACCTACTTCTTTCTTTTACATACATTGTCTGTAGAAGTACACCTACTAATTTCTCTTATATATATTGTCTATAGGAGTACATCCACTATTTTCCTTTACATACATTGTCTATAGGAGTACACCTACTAATTTCTTTTACATACATTGTCTATAGGAGTACACCTACTACTTTCTTCTACATACATTGTCTATAGGAGTACACCTACTTCTTTATTTTACATACATTGTATATAGAAGTACACCTACTAATTTCTCTTATATATATTGTCTATAGGAATACATCCACTATTTTCCTTTACATACATTGTCTATAGGAGTACACCTATTTCTTTCGATTACATACAATGTCTATAGGAGTACACCTACTAATTTCTTTTACTTACATTGTCTATAGGAGTACACCTATTTCTTTCGATTACATACATTGTCTATAGAAGTACACCTACTACTTTCTTTTACATACATTGTCTATAGGAGTATACCTACTAATTTCTTTTACATACATTGTATATAGGAGTACACCTACTAC